AAGCAGGCATTCCAACAGTTAATGGAGTTGTTTACGAAAGAGGTGACCTTATTATTGGAGAGGAGGGCTCATCAAAGGCAAATTCTCACATCTGTGGCCTGATGACAAAAGAGAAGGCAGGAACGAGAAGAGAAGGGATAGAAGATGAGTATGGGGCAGGATGGACAGAGGAGAAAGGAGAATGAGAAAGAGACCACCCTAGCTGAAAAAAAAACAACTCATCGTCCTGTGTGGTTTTATGGTTCCTCAAAGTCACTTCCTGTCCCATCCCTTATAGCCAACGTGAGAAGCAAAGGCCTCTGAGTATCAACACCAACATCCAATCGCGTTTGGTGACGTGTGTCACCTTTCTGTGTCATTCCATCTTCTCTCAAATGGCCTTCCACCTATGTGGAGTGGAAATGTCACTCTCTAAACGAGAACACAAACAGACGAGCATGGATGTCAAAGGAGACAAAGGAGGGAGATGAACAAAGAGGAGTGACGGAACAAGTCTTCCCTCAACAATGGTACCACCACTACCACCAATGCCATCCCCTCCACGGACGACAATACCTGACATGTCAACGTGGGTAGAGAGACGAGTTGACAAAAACAGACAACAAATATTTTCGGACATCCTTTGAAAAGCAAATGCTATGTTTCCTTTACACACTTTCCTCTCCCGTTCTCACCCTCCATCTCCTCTTGTTCCCCACCGCTTCCTCTCACCCTACTCTTGTGCCATGACGCCATGAGAGTGATTTATTTGCAGCGCCATCTCTCCATTCCTCTCCACCCATCCTCGCCTCCACTCCATTCTACTATGCTCTACTCTACTCTACTCACAACACCTCATGAAAATAAGCAGCACAAGTGGTTGTGGTGGGTTCGTGGTCACCAGCATCAACTGCTAGCGCAATGCTGACCAGAGGGAATGCAAGTGTCATGCAGTGGAGAGAAGTGCAGTGCACCTACCCAAGTTAGGAGGTGCATTTGCAAAATAACTTAGATCCACCACACCCCAATCAACTGCCGCCCCTTCCTCCCCCTCCTCCTCCTCCTCCTCCTCCTCCTCCTCGTCCGCCACCGCCATCGCTATCACGGCCACCACTACCGCCTCCACCTGGAATAAACTATGCAAAGTGACCAAAAGTGCCTCCTCGTTGGTGCTACTGTTCTAGCCCACCCACTTGGTCATTGTCAGGTCACATTCACTGCAGGACGATGAGAGTGATGCATTCCTTCACCATTTGGCGAGGCATAACTTGGAGGACATGCTGCCCTCACATACATCCATCCAGCCATCCATCACACCAGTCACATCCACTCACAGCACCTCTATACTGAGCAACCAAGTGTATGCATGGGAGAATCCCACTTTTACATCTCCTACCACTACCATTGGCGATGGAGTGAGAGGTGGACGCTATCACGCCACTTCTACTCAGTATCGTACCCTCCTCCTGTCACTCAGGTTCAGTCCAACCACCAAGTGCTCTTCCCAACCATCGTCGATGCATCGGAGCGACAGATGTGGCGTTCACTTCCTCATCTCCTCATTCACTTCACCCATTCACTCAACGTTGGAGAAGAACACTTGCATTTTTTAATTTGAACACACACTTATCTTCCTTCGGTGGACAGCATGATGCTGAAGTGTCGTAGGGTGGGGTACAACAGCGTCCTTATGGCCTCTGCTTCAACTTAGTGAGGAGAGTCCTCCTTATCCCACAGGAGGATCATCTCACCTCACTCGGAAGGCACTCCGCTACATACACGAGATGGGTAATACTACCTTCCTCCTCTTTCTACATCGCATGCACGAAATCGCCTCCTTCAGCCCTCCTATTCAGCACTAAAGCACTCCCTTTAGAAGACCGCGGCTTTTTAGCAAGGGCAAAAGAGAGTTCTGAAGTGTTTAGGTGAAGCGAAAGGCAATAGTTAATATATGGTGAAGCTAAGAAGAGCTTCCAACTTCCCCATCAAGGTGAAGCTTAAATTCGTACTCTTTGAACCTGTCCCAACATTCCACTTTTAGGCTTTCTGATAAATTTTGTCCATTATTTTTTTCTCCAAGAAGTAATCTGATACTTTACCCATTGAAAAGTGGAAAATCGGCAAATTTGTACGTATTTTACGCATTCACTTCAGTGAATAATAATGAATGCCTTGATCAAAACTGTCTCCCCAATCCAACAGCCAGACGAACAGACAAAGATTCTTCCCAGCTACATTTGGACTTGATCCTCCTTTTAAAATTTGTGCGGATAGAGGCCTTTAAGGCCTTTTTATGGCTTAGCATCCTAATAGCTGTGTTTAAATTATGTGGGCGGGTAGGCTGTATTTCCGTCTGGCGGTGTGGCGCCTGCGAAACATGCTAAATAGCCTTGCGGGCCTCCTCCACCTTAGTAATATACTGCCCTTTCTTAGCTTGTCAAGATAGTAGAATTTTGTCCGGAGCGCTCCAGACAGAGCATCCGTTATTTCATTCACGCCTGGCCGAATAAATGTCGAAAAGTGTGTTTGATAGACTAGACAGTTGACTATTCAACCTACAGTTAAGATCAAAATGTGATTTATTTTACCTAGGATTGATAAAGATTGCCGTGAGTTTATTGGTGCGCCTCATCGCAGTGGCATCTTGCATCATTTAGGTAATCACCATGGAAGGCAAAGGTATACATCAGGTTGTAACTGATCCGATACACTCTACCAACTTCTCCTATACTACACTAGGAGTAAAATGGGTAGAGGGGGTGTGACTCTAGCCTTTCTGCCAAATTAATCAAGTTTAACTCGGTTCCATAGCTCTAGTTGCAGCAGCTTATCGTCCGATTTGTTGTACAGCTGCGCCGGGATGTACCACTTCTAACTTATTGTGGAGATAAATGACTGTGGGATTTAAGCGTTTTGCTAAGGCAGATCCTCGATTTCAGATAATGAGGAATTACATTAATAGAGGATTAACCTGTCAGGAGGTTCAAGCTTTTTTGACGAGAGTGATAAAATAAAACATGCCCCGCGCTGCTTGCCTCCACTGGGAGAGTCGTGGGGTCTAACAGCTGAGTGTATCTTAACCAGATGAAACAAAAAAAACAGACGACAGTAAAGCTTGACTTACGCAATAGAAATGCGCTGCTTTTAAATAGTTTTCCAACTGGCTTGTGATGTGACAAAAATGGTTTTTGTAGTGCAACGCAACGTGGGATGAGTCTAAGTTGGTTATCCTTGGTTAAGTGTCATCAGTTATCGCTAAGTGATTCACTCACTGCCCAGTAGTAGGAGTCAGTCCATATTTCTGGGACTTCTGGGGCTGTCGAAACTTCATCCTCACAAGTCTACTCAAGCATTGTGTGTACGTGTGTGCGCTGAATTATAGACAAGTTGTTCACCCGAAATAAGTCACTTAGTGGAGGCCAAACCTTCTTCACGATAGAGATGCCTTGATTTGGTACAACTAAAGTGTGTTGAAGAAGAAGAAGAAGAACGGGAAACAAGCCTTACAGAAAAAAAACAAAGGATAGGTGAACCAGTGAATGCTCATCAGTATGAAGGCTGACACGGTGATTAGGATAGGAAGTAGAAAGAGGAAAGGAGACACCCATTCATCCCATCCTTACTTTCTCCCTCATCTTCTGCATCCCCATGACGGTGACACTTTATGAGTCATAATTATTGCCTTTTCTTGCTTTTTGACCACTGCACAATATCGCATCACCTCACATCACAAGACCGCATGTGCGACGGAATAGGCAGTTGGTAAATGGAGCCGCTGAAACAGAAATATAGCTGCATTTGTTAGTTAAATTTTTTAAAGGTAAAATATTTTACAAAATTATAGACTGCGATGAGGTTGTATCTCACTGCGGAAGGGTCATAAGCAGTCGATTACAGTGGTGCTTATTCTAACAAACATATGTTGTGTTTCAAAAGCTCGTCGTGATTATCAAAAAGTTGCAGGGGACTCTACTCAAACTTATCTAATTGCTCCATTGATTTATAAATATAAGGCTTCAACAACCAATACAAGCGCAAAAGTTGGTTTCAATGCGTAACTGAACAGCTACCACAAGCCACCTTCTAAAATCAACCTCTAAAATAACAGTTGTGCGACATTGTCCCTTTATTTACATCAAAAGCACACTTTGTAATAAAAAATTTAGTGAATATGGGATAATCGCGTCAACTTCGGCTCCTTTACCGGTCGTGTGGGGACAACTTGAACACCGACCGTCATGCTTGAATGCATGGTAGACTCATTCAATCAGTACTTGCATCATTAAAACAAACAAAAGTATAATAAGCAAATTTAGGAGCTGCAACATGCATCCTCTTCAGGAAGGCAAAAAAACCAAATCCAGTAGTCTAAGAAAAAAATGATAAAAATTAAGGTAAACAAAATTTTCAAAACTGGTATTTCATTATAAGCTCTCAATAACAATGTTTGATTTTGTTGTTTAACATTGCAGCCACACTTTGAAAATATCACAAATGCTTTAAAATATTAGATAAACATTCCCAGCTTTGTTTGGCTTCTTTTTTTCTGAAATCCTCACTTGTTAATTTTCACCGAAAAGAAAACGCTACATAGGTGATATGCCCTTTCACTTGCCGAACATAACAAAACACACTATTGAATCAGTACCGTAGCAAGTAATCTATTTTAAAACATGCAAAATTTCCTTTTCAGCATGTTTATTAAGCCTTAATGTTAAGGCGATTTCAGAAAGATTATATCTGTCACTTTTCACAATTAAACGAATAATTTTAGACAAATAACAGCCATCATAATCCATTTTTAAAATGAGTTAAGCTACTTTTTCATTTCTTTTTGCTTACTGAAAAATTATCTAAAATCTCCCTAAAATTTCCTCCCGATTTGTATCCTGAGTTGATCAAAAAGTATCAGCACTGATCAACTCACTCTAAGAAAGATAACTTATGTTAGTTATTCAGTAGTTTATGCACAAATTCTGTCAGAGTAGATAAAAACCTTTCAAATGTATCCATTGTGGATGGGGAATTTGACTTTCAAAATGGTCTTTACCGTCACTCAACAAATTTGGCCAAGTATCAAAAACGTAAGTACATATCGGTAACTCAAATGCAAGGTAAATACGTTCAAATCTTTTCTTTGAATTGCTAGGAAACAAAATTATCCCCTTACATACACTTGAATAATTGGAAAATCCCTGATATTTAACCGACCAGAGGTGTCAGAAATGCTCGATCACTTGGTAAAGAAAGCATGCATTTATTAAAACGATTTGCTAAACAGAAAATATCTTTCTCCTTTGGGCTCTCTTTGACACTTGATTTATGTCATTCTGCGGCTGACGCTTTGCATTGTGAGTTTAAACCACGGGTAAATACGCTGCCATCACTCACAAGCTCGCCTGGGATTCTGTCGGTTTGTGTGTGTGTATTCACGTCCACCGCGCGTGGCCTCGGAATTAGGCTGTTACCACCCTCTTCCCCCTCTCGCCCTCCCGACGCTACTTCTGACCGCAGTGTCAACTAGCTCCGCCTCCTCCCGCCTCCTTTCCACCGACCTGATTTACCGGGCACTTTCTCCCGTGCTCTCGTTTTTCGGACACCACGTTTTGACGGAAAGGACGGTGGGAAAATCTTGTGACTCAGTTCCTAGTCTCTTATCCCACCCCTCCACCCCCCTCCCGGGTCGTTGGAAAAACAAGATGCGTAAGGAATCAGAAATTGTGGTAACCTGTAAGGCTGGGAGAATATGGGTCAGAATGCCTGGGCCATTACGTACCTATTTTCCAGCGCAGATGGATGGATAGATGCTGTGATGGCCTCCATGAAGGCGGCGCGGAGCTAATAGTCTTGACTGTTAATGAAGGCCATTTCAAACCCCTGTGTCTGGTGACGTCTTTTGAGAGGCTATCATTCGGCATAGGATTTAATTGGCATTTTGAAATTACATCAAGCTGCAAAAATAAATTCTAGTTGCGCGTTTGTTTGAATGCACCTTTTTGGGTAGCAGGTGGGCAATTTGGGTCGGCCCAAGGACTGAGGAGGTGGAGGGGGCCGAAGAGGAAAAGTAGGGAGATAAACTTCTATTCCTCCACATAACCTTTACCTTTGCAAAACCTTAGACCCCTTTTCGATTCAGGGCTGTGAAACAAAGGTTAAAAGGTCAAACTCGGGAAAATGTTGTGGTCTACCGGTCAGACCATTTTTTCACTGATCTGCATGCGTTTGAGTGCTTTTATTTAGAGCGGAAAAAAGAAATTATAACGTCCTCTTATTCCTCCCAAAGTTTGCATCTTATCGGCTATACTTCCTTTATAAAGGGTCTTTTTTCTTCAGAAATTTGGCAAAAACCTGGCTGCCTCAGTGACATCAACCGATTGACTTGGAAGTTGACCACGTCTGTCATTGCGATTTTGTCTTCACACACCACGGTAAAATTGGAACAGTTCTCTCTAGGCCCATCAGATATCAAAAGGAAGGAAAATCAGAAAGAGAGAAGACGAAAAAGGGAGAAACTTTATCCCAATTTATTCTAATGTAAACCTTTAAACGCCTAAGCGGTGGTCGCTGCTCAAACACAGGGATGGAGGTGGATTACATGCGCCTCACAGCTTGGGAAAGATCAAAGGGAAGAGCTGTGAACTAAAATAAGGGCTTATTTAAAAGCAGCAAGCATTTTTGTTAACCCATTGTGGTGCCTCTAGACTTCGCTGAAGACGAGAGAAGGCATAATATTCAGGCAGAATAGACATTGATAGCGGACAGAAAGGCGTGGGGGCTACTGGTATGGTCCGGAGGCCAGTCCATCTGGCGATGGTACAGTAGCGGAGACCCAAGGCGGCTCCTTTACCACGAACAAGAGTTAAACACACAATTAACGTGTTATACTCTGGACTCTAATGGAGCTGATCTTATAGGTTCGATTGCCCTATCTGGTAGAAAACTTATCATGGACACAACCATTTAAGGCTGTTTCCAATTATCTGTCATTAATGGCTCCCTTTCCCCCAGTATCCTTTGACAGATTCCTTTTGACTGGAGATAACTTCAACCAAGCAGTCAATTAGCGTAGGTAAAGACAAAGGAGGAAAATAGGTCTTTGATTTGCATCTCCCAACAATGACGACTAAGTGGAGGGAGAAGGTAGAGAAAACCGTAAGAAGAAAATTCTACTTTTTTTCTTTGGTGGACGATTTTGAGTCGATTACCTCCTTCTGATTACCAAGTTTGTAAAAGAGGGAAATAAACTTTAAACTTGGAAGGAAATAATGCAATTTGATGCACCTAACTTTCTCTCCGTCCGTTCTGCTCCGCTCCCTCCCCACCGCACCATGGCCCGCAGCTCCACCGCCCCTACCCCCCCGCTAAACGTCTAGCTTGATTGATGGATTTACATAAATAGCCACGTGATAAATTATGCAAGGGAGTTTTTCTTACTTCGTGTTTAATTTTTTGTACATCCCTTGATAGTTTGCTTGGACGGGAGATTATCTGCCTTCTGATCTGCGCTATCGCTCTGTTAGATGGGGTGGGGAGACACTGACGGCCAGACGCCTTTAAATTACCCCATTCACTGGCCAGATGTTACCCTGCCTCTCCCTCCTCTCTGCAATTCTATGCAAAAGTCAGGGAGACTTTTTCTGCTAGGTGGGCGGGGTGAGTGAAAATGGAACACATGAGAGACCACAATGTGGAGATTTTTTCCGACTCTTTATACACTGGCAATTGTTGTTTTTTGAAGCAAAAAAATGTAAAATTAATAAGTTACTCTGCTTTACTTAAAATAGCATGCATTTGGAGAGATAAATTTCACTTAGCCATGTTATTCTTGAGGAGGGTGTTGGTTTAATCCCCTCCTTGAAGGAGGCCTCGAAATGCAGTCCCCCTTCAGATGGAGTGGAGATTAGCCAGCTAGAGATCAAGAACAAACAGGGCACGTCAATAAATCTTTACAAAAGCTTTCCTTTTTTGCGGATAGACACCTTTAACTCGTACTTTTTGATAATTTCGGCCAATTATTCGATAGGATATGCACCAACACCCTTTGACAAGATAAAGACTCTCCATTTAGTGACCACTTTTTCCTCTCTTCTCCTAAAGTACCTCCGGATGACATGTGTGAGAAAAGAACCTAATTAAAGGAGACAAAGTAAAACGCTTTTTAAAAGTAGAAATTGGACACATTTACTTTTTCATGCACTCACTTCTGAGGTGTCCGATTAACCGTCAGCGCCCATTCACTCGATGCGTAAATTAGACCACCGAGGAAAGAAAGAGAGGGAAAAAGGTGAGGAAAATGCCTTTTGCGGTGAGGGAATAAAGAGATTTAATTTTTTAAGGCTTCTGTTTTACCATTTTTTGATTTTTTGGCAACATAATATATGCTACTTAATTGATAATAAGTATTTAAAGGCACGCATTTTGAGTGGGGTGGAGGTGATACTCACTGGTCTTGTTAGCTACGGGCTTTTACTCGCCAGGAAATTGGCCTTAAGTCTGAGGTAAGGCCGATTCCACTAACAGCTGAACAGGATGAAACACCGAAAAGTGAGGTACACGAAAGTTGGCTAGACATTTGCATTTCCGAGATGAAAATTGAGATTAATGAAGCCACATCTAAGCAGAAATTTGTTGCTTGCGGGTAAAGTTGGGAATTTAGCCAAGCTTTTACTACCTTTTGGTGTATATTCGTCTTGTGCTACTCCTGTTCTATCTGGGAAACTACATCCTCCGGATTGTATAGGAAAGGTGAAATGGTTTAGAATCTGAAAGCTTGTAGAAAGCATAAGGGATATCAGAGATAAAAAGAGGAGAAATTGAATGGTGAGGCAGACGAAAGTGAGAGTAAAGCTGCGTCTCTACTCTACCAGCATTCTGGACCCCTGGATGGGGAAGACTGGCTAGAGGAAGGAGCTGCGCACTGTTACGACATTTGACAACTAATTTGGGATGATCTCATCCTCCCTCCTCCTCCTCGTCCTCCACCTTCTCCTCCTAAAGGGTTGGCGACGCCTTTTATTCGCTCACTTACGAGTTTCGTCCCATCTACTCTAAACAGCGGTCACCACTACGTGTCTTCAAGCATTCGAGCAGTCAGACCCTTCCATTTAGGGAAAAAACCAATTCTGCTACCAGCAAAGCACTCATTTTAAAGAAGGTAATGGGAGGCAGGATTGTAACAAATGCTCAGCTGGAGGCGAGAGAAGGCATTAAATGTATTGAAGCAGACTGAAAGTCAACTCCACTTGTTGCCTTTACCTCGTGACAGTTCTCATTCGTCGTGGATGTAGCAAGTGTTAAAGCGGACGTGCCGC